GGGAGCCGCGGTTTGCCGACCACTGCCCTAGCCGGTTTGGCTCAATGGATAGTGTCAGTCTGCGAACTGAGGGGTCCCAGGTTAGATTCCGGTCAAGGGCACATGCCGGGGTTGTGGGCTCGATCCCCAGTGGGGGCTGTGCAAGAGGCAGCCGATCAATGATTCTCTCTCATCATGGATGTTTCTATATCTCTCTCCCTCTTCCTTCCTCTCTGAAATCAATAAAAAAATATTTTTTAAAAAAGCACCCAAACTGTAAAGGAAGGAGTTATCTCTGTTCACATGATATGAGCTCATATGTACAAAACCTTAGATTACATAAAAGAAGTTAGAGCTAATAAATAAATTCAGCAAAGTAGCCCTAGCCGGTTTGGCTCAGTGGATAGAGTGTCGGCCTGCGGACTGAAGGGTCCCAGGTTTGATTCCAGTCAGGGGCATGTACCTTGGTTGTGGGCACAGCCCCAGTAGGGGGTGTGCAGGAGGCAGCTGACCGAAGTTTGTCTCTCATCGATGTTTCTAACTCTCTATCCCTCTCTCCCCCCCTCTCTGTGGAAAAATCAATAAAATATATTTTTTTAAAAATTCAGCAAAGTAGCAGAATATAGTCAAAACACAAAAATCAGCTACATTTCTACATTAACAATGAACAATCTGGAAAGAAAATTAAGAAAACAAATCCATTTAAAATAGCATTAAAAAGAACAAAATACTTAGGAATTAACTTAACAAAGGAGATAAAAGACTTGTACAATAAAAACTACAAAACAATGCTGAAAGCAATTAAAGAAGTCATAAATAAAAGACATCCCAACAATTTATTTTTGTAGAAGTAGGAAAAAATCCATCCTAGAATTCATATGAAATCTAAGCCCCGAACAGCCACAAAACAATCTTGAAAAAGAACAACAAAGACTCACACTTCCTGATTGTAAAGCTACAGTAATCAAAACAGTGTGATACTGACACAGACAGACTTGTAAACCAAAGGAACAGAGAGCCCAAATATAAACCCTTGCATATATGGTCAAATGATTTTCAACAAGAGCACCAAGACCATTGAATGGGAGAAAAAACAGTCTTCAACAAACAATCCTAGGAAAGCAGGATATCCACATGCAAAAGAATGAAGCTGGGTCCTAACCTTACACCAAGCATGTCAAACTCAAAGGCTGGCATGGGCCAAATAAACAAGGTTTAAGTTTCTGTGGGCCACAAAAAAACACAAAAGCTTCAATTTTCATAGAAACATAGGTTTATTTCAATAGAGACATGCTGAACACAAAGGGCTGAAATAAATGAGTCATTGTTAATATAAAAATAATAGAACACTTTAATAAAAATTAATATTTTTTCTTAAACATTAACTTACCAGACACTGAATAACTGCACAAATTAATAAGCGTAATGCAAATAAACCTATTTTTCTTGTTCTCCGAAAGTGAAATATTTCCTGTTACGCACACCAAACAAGTCAGTACAAGACTAATGACGTGGCAGTTGGCTGTTAAAATATTCGCTGCTAGTATTAGTGGAGAGAAATGGTGCGCCTGTGCGTAAGGTTCGTAAGGGAAATGAATGCAACACAATATAGTAATCAGCCATTAGCAAACATTGTAGTTCGTTATTAATAACTAGAGGCCCAGTGCACGAAATCCGTGCACTGGTAGGGTCCCTAGCGGCTGCCGGCTGGGTATTCCCTCTCTTTCCCTGGCTGGCTCTGCCCCCTGGTCCCACTCCTGGACAAACCCCGGTCGAGGGGACAATTTGCATACTATACTTTTATTATATAGAATTATGTATAACAGGATATTGTAAAAATTAAGTTATGAAATTTTTATTAAAACATTGGCTGGGCCACAAAAATATTCATTGTGGGCCATATGCGGCCTGCGGGCTGTGAGTTTGACATGCTTGCCTTACACCATATATAAAAGTTAACCCAAAACCGATGAAAGACATAAATATAAGAGCTAAAACTATAAAACTTAGAAAAAATAGATGAAACAGGCAACAAATTAGAAAAATAGAAAAATTGGACTTCACCAAAAAAATAAAAAGGTAACTCACAGAATGTGAGTAAATACTTGCAAATCACGTATCTGATAAGGGATTGATATGTAGAAGATATAGAGAACTTATAAAATGCAACAAAAGAACAAACCTGATTAAAAGTTGGGCAAAGGTCTTGAATAGACATTTCTCTAAAGAAGATATACAAATGGCCAATAAGCACGTGAAAAAATATTCAGCATCACTAACCAACAGGGAAATGCAAATCAAAACCACAATGAGATACCACTTCACACTAAGCAAGCTCTGTAGCAGGCAGGCCTGGCCCCAAATTCCAAGTCTACCACTTCTCAACTGGGCAGTTTGGGACAGATGGCCTCACCTTTCCATGTGCCCACTTCTTTTTTTATTTTTTTTTAAATATATTTTTATTGATTTCAGAGAGGAAGGGAGAGGGAGAGATAGAAACATCAATGATGAGAGAGAATCATTGATCAGCTGCCTCCTGCATGCTCCCCACTAAGGATCAAGTCTGCAACCCAGGCATGTGCCCTTGACTGGAATTGAACCTGGGACCCTTCAGTCCACAGGCCAATGTTCTATCCACTGAGCCAAACCGGCCAGGGCTATGTGCCCACTTCACCTGTAACACAGCGGATAAGGCAGCGTCTACCCCAGGACTGTGGCGGGTTACTGAGACAGAAAGGGGTGTGCTCGACCCCACCAGCCTCTGGGAAGGGTATGGCAGTGTGCGCATCTGTGGGCTTCCCCCCTCTGCCCATCAGCTGGCTTCATCTCCTTTGAATACACCTGGAATGTGTACCTGACTCAGAGAAGGCAGGAAGCAGAGCCACGTGCTCTCAAAGACAGCTTTCCAGGAGCTCTGTCCCACAGGCTTCACTGACGGCTCCATGTACCTTCGTGTCTCATGCCCCCCACACATGGGGTAAGGCAGGCTCTGGCACACGGAGAGGAGCTGCCTACCTTGATGATTACACGCTGGTCTGACTGGTCCTCCAGGATGCTGTCCGTGGGATAGGACTCAATCTGCTGTCTGATGGCAGAGGCGATAGCTGGCACGAACGTCAGTGGGTTCAAATCTAGATCATCACAGAGGATTTCTGAAAACATCTCAGGAGTCATCAGCTTCTCTGTAATCAGGTAAGAAGGCAGAGGTTGTCAACAAATTGCAAGGCCTAATCTCAGCATTCTCAGCCCTGACCTCCCCTACTCCTTCCTCCTCTGCCAAACCTCGGATGAAGATAAGGATGAAGATGAGGACGGGTGGCCCTCCCTGACATGTCAGGGAAAGGAAGCAAAGGATGAACACTCCCTTCTGTCAATCGTTCCACATACACCACCTCCTTCACACCCCCGGGGTGGTCAAGGCCCTAGGTGTCCCCCCATACCAGGTTCTCCCCGCTCCCAGGCACCACTACACCACTACACACTCGATTAGTTCTAACCAATGAGATGTTTGGGAAGAGGGGAAGCAAAGGCGCTTCAGAGCGGATGTGTCATGTCCACACTCTCTCCTCTTGACCCAGGCAAGCAGGGCAGCCCCACGTGAAGACTCAGAGAGAAGACAGCTGTCTACACACCAGGAGAGGCCTCAGAGGAAACCTATGCTGCCAACACCTTGATCTTAAACTTCTAGCTTCCAGATCTGGGAGAAAATGCATTTCTGTTGGGTAAGCCCATGTGTGGGACGTTGCGGCAGCCTAGCAAACGAACACAGCTTCCTTCTGCACAAGGCACTTTGAGGCCAGGTCCCACTGGAGGATGGAGCAGATGCTCGTCCATCTACCTCTTCCTCACCAGTAGGAATATCCCTCAGAGATAGTTTGCGGCTGCTTATGGCTTTTTACAGACCTTCCCTCAGTTTCTAACTCTATGGGTAGCATATGCACTCAACAAGCTGACAAGCACGGAGGTGTGTGTGGATCCTGGAAACGTAACTGTACCAGGCATGAGCTCACAGAGACCATCTGTGACTGGCCAGGCTATAGCAAGGTACTGTGCAATCAAATGTTTTTCTGCCCATTCTGCCCTATTCTCATAACCTAAACCTTAATGATCACCAACACTCTGGGATAAGCCACAGACAAAAAAAGCCAAGAATGAATTCCCACATGAGCAAATAGCATGATTCCATGATCAAGAACCAGCTCTGCTTAACAGATACTCGACCCCACTATTTCCTCACTAGCCCAGAAGAAGAGCTAGAGACCAAGTGCCCTAACAGCATCAGGACAAACCTGGAACACTGAGCCAACCTATGTTCAATAACTCAAAAAGCAAGCAAATGTAGTTTATTTTGAAGATTGCAACAGGCAGCTGAAGTGCTCAGGCTAAGTAATCGATGAGTACATTGTCCATAGCATTAAAAAAATTAACCTTTTGCCTGACCAGTGTGGCTCAGTGGTTGAGCATCAATCTATGAACCAGGAGGTCACAGTTCGATTCCTGGTCAGGGCATATGCTTGGGTTGCAGGCTCAATCCCCAGTAGGGACCGTGCAGGAGGCAGCTGATCAATGATTCTCTCTCATCATTGATGTTTCTATCTCTCTCTCCCTCTCCCTTCTTCTCTGAAATCAATAAAATAAAATAAACTGTGGCAGAAGAATAATTTGAACCCAAAGTCCACACCCTCTAAAAGCCACAATGCTTTGATTGTTGGGTTGAGAACCCACAACCCGCCCAAAGGGCATCAGGCATGAAAGGGGAGTGTTTGTACAGTGGCTTGTCTGGGCTGCACAGAGCCCCATATACCATTCATATTCCAGGTAAAGGCATCCCTTAGCTTCTGCCCATCAATCTCCATGTCCAGCCGGATGGGGACCAGCACCTCAGGCTGGGACGCATTCTCGTGGATCACTGCTGGGTCATGGTCATCAAAGCTGGAAGTAAACGGCAGCAAAGTCACAAGGGGTGCTATGAGTCCCCCCAGGGCTCCCTCTCTGCACCATGGATCACTGCAAACCTGGCCAAGGGGGAAGCCCACTTCTTAGGGGACTTGTCAACTAAGGGCTGAGTCAGCAGAGACCAGGGCAGCAGGGGTCCCGAGCCACAGGGGCAGAGCTCCACACTTCATGAACACACGGGAAAGAGAGGGAGAGCTGCTGGCTTGGGCAGTGGACACGACCTGGGCATGCTCTGAAAGAAGAGAGATTTAAGCCCCAAAGCAGGCAGGACTTCACAGAAAGCTGTGGGAAAGGAAAGGTATTTCCAGAAGAGGAAATACCTGAGCAAAGGCCAAGGAACAAGGAGAAGCAGGGAGCTGCTGGGGTAGCAGCAGCCAGAACACTGAAGGTGGGGTAGAGGTTAGATGGGGGAGCAGCTTGGGAGGCACTGGGAGACTACGGGGTCAAGGTGCCAACAGTTCTCCATCTCGGCTGCGGAATCTCTACCTAAGGGAGTTCCAGGAGGACTGAGCAAGGGCTTTAGGACGACAAAGGGGGAAGAGATGTGGGCATGTTGGAGGACTGGGAAGCCTAAGGGCATCTGCGGAACACGGAGGGCTGAGACCTGCTCTCAGAGCTTGGGGCAGGACCACAAGCAAACAAGAAAAGCACACCATATGCCAGACACAAATGCTCGGGCTTGAAAAATAACCCCCAAAAGGTAGCTATGTCCTAATCCTTGGAACCCTGACCATGTGCTTTGCATAGTGATTAAGTTAAGGCTCTTGAGAGGAGATTAATTATCCTAGGGGGCCTAAATGATATCAGGAGAGATCTCACACACACACAGAAGGCCATGTGACCACGGAAGCAGAGACTGGTACTGTGTCTATAAGCCAAGGAATGCCAGCAGCCACCAGAAGCTGGAAGACACAGAAACAGATTCTCTCCCAGAGGCCCCAGAATTGCAACCCAGCCAACACCTTGATTCTGGCTGGAGCAAGCTGGAGACCAGCACCCTGCAAGCTGAGGGGAAAGGGTTTCATGGAGAAGCCAGCATGGCATTTTGGGGAACACAAAGTAAGCGTGTTTTTCAGGAGAGGAGGAGATTGAAATGCATCCGGGCACTAAGGTGGACTCAGTGGAAAGGGTGACGTGTGCTCACCAGAGAGGGAAGGTTCTCTTCTTGTCCCGGCCCATGCGGTTCCTGTTGATGGTCGTGGAGCACGGTACAGCGTCTAGATGGTGGGAGCTGTTGGGCAGGGTGGGCACCCACTGACTGTTCCTCTTTGCTTTCTGTTCCCTGGGAAGACACGGGAAATCTTCCACTCAGTCTCTGAGCCCAAGACCACCACCAGGTAGCAAGTCAGCGGATGCCCTCTGCACCCCTGCTGGGCTCCAGGCCCCAGTGGGAGCTTCTGTGCACCCCGGACTCTGCAGGTGTCTATTCCCTAGGCTCCCACCAGCACCTTCTGGGAGGTAACCAAGCTAGAAGAAGGGTGCAAAGGGGCCCCAACAAGTCAGAGCAGGCCCCGCCCAGGGCACGAGCCATAATTAGCATGCTGTGCTGGACGTGGCTCCATGGAAGCACTGTGAGGAGGAGGCTTCCCAGAAGAGTGGAGCCTTAAACACTGAGTCGGGGTTCACCGGGGTGGGGATGACTGGAGGGGAGAAAGCATTTCAGGAGGAGCAGACAGCAGCAGGTTGCGGGCCTGACGGGGGCTGGAAACATGGGACACAGACAGGGTCCCAACGACAGGGGCTGACGTGTTCTGTGAGAGTCTATACTCAGCAGATGGCTGGGAGTCCCCAGGGGTTTGCAGCAGGAAGAGACATGATCAGACTATTATTTCAACATGCAGGCCAGCCTGAGATGGCCTAGGCCAGCCATGGGCAAACTACGGCCCGCGGGCCGGATCCGGCCTGTTTGAAATGAATAAAACTAAAAAAAAAAAGACCGTACCCTTTTATGTAATGATGTTTACTTTGAATTTATATTAGTTCACACAAACACTCCATCCATGCTTTTGTTCCGGCCCTCCGGTCCAGTTCAAGAATCCATTGTGGCCCTCGAGTCAAAAAGTTTGCCCACCCCTGGCCTAGGCAAACGTGCAGGCCTCTGGGCTTCCAGACCAGTAGACACTCAAAATAACTTCAGTAGCCCATGTCTTATAGAAGGCTGAGTGCCCTGAGTCCCTTGCTCATCCTCAGGGCAGCCTTCCCCAATGAGATGACAAGCAAGGTGAGGGCAGTGACTATGTGTAATTCACCTACATGAACACCCGCACCAATCTTCTTCAACAACGGCTACCACTCAGAGAATACGGCAACCGCTGGATTTCCTGCTGCTTTGCCAGGGCCCTCTCAGGAGCGCCAGAGACACAGCTGGCAGCCCTTCCCCTCCTCCTGAGTCGTGGAGGGCAGAGGTGGTGGCCATGACCTGCCTGGGCCCAGGCCCTTTAACTCTTTTATCTTCTAAAGCTGGGGCCACTCACACTCAGATGCTGAGGTCCAGGAACATCCCTGATTGAGGGCAGGGTCAGAGAGGGATTCACAGCACCTTGGCCGGGACTCCACCGTCCCCCGTACCCAGGTCTTGCTTAGATCTCATGATCGGCCTTCACCTTATATGAGAGACCTGGGGAAATGGGAAACACGGAACTAATCTGGGCAGGGCTCAGAGCTGGGGCAACAAGACCAGGATCTCCACCACAGCCCATCTGGGCCCACTGGCCACCCAGACCCGCTTAGAGCACAAACATTTAAGTAACAGATTCCTGAATCCCACCCAGGTCCAACAATCCCCATCTCTGGGGCGGGCCTGGAAATATGAATTCTTAACAACTTCCATGCGATGCTGGTGCCACTGGGCCTGTACTTGGGAGCCTTGGGTCTAGCACACCACCTCTTTTCTGAGCCTCCTAGGGCCAAATCCTACCCTAACTCAGTAGCAATCTCACTCATTTCCAGTCTGGGCTGCTCTGCCAAGTTATGTCACAGACACAGTGAGCATGAATCCACAGCCATGCACAGAATCTGAGGCTCCGAGTCATGTAATTCAAGCTTCTTCCTCTGCCAGGAGGTCTGCCTGAGAGGGGGCAGCCAGCCTCTGCCTGACCTGCCCAGTGAGGGGGGGGAGGTGCCAGTCCTCCCGTGGGGCTGACTAGACAGTGAGAAGGCGCTTCCTGAGCATAAAGCCTGACAAAGCGCAAAGCAGCCTCCTTCAAACCTTTACCTCCTCCCCCCTCCCCCCCAATTCTTCCTCCCTCAGCTGTTCCTCAAATGACACGATCATTAAGAAAGTGTTTATCGCCCCATAAAAGTTTCCCAGCTGATGTGTGCAGACTTGAAAGTCCCATCCATGTGCACTTAATTTCCTTCTGCCACTTCCCTGGGAAAGTCTAGCCATCCTTATGTTTTACCACATCCCGGGGGGTGGGGAGGGGGGGAGAAATCTGTAGAGCACACATCTATAACGCTGGCCAGGTTGGATGTGTGCCACCATTTCCCAGGGGCAGTGGGGAGGGAGGATTATATAAACAATCCAATAGGAAAGTTGAGAGCAAATTGGAAAAGAAAACCGTATCACGTGAAACAATAACGCTCTCCAGCCCTGCCAGTGTGGCTCAGTGGTTGAGCATCGACCTATGAACCAGGAGGTCAGGGTTAGATTCTGGGTCAGGGTACATGCCTGGGTTGCGGGCTTGATCCCCAGTGTGGAGCGTGCAGGAGGCAGCCAATCAATAATTCTCATCATTGATGTTTCTATCTCTCTCTCCCTCTCCCTTCCTCTCTAAAATCAATAAAAATATATTAAAAAAACAAATAAAACAATAACACTCTCCAACCCCCTTAGTGCTTCTGGGGTTTGGTGCATATGAATGCACGTTTGCTTGAGAACTGAAAGCACAGGGCAGGAATAGCGGGGCTCAGGCATGTGAACCCCGTCTTTGGTGCTGCAGTCTAGTTAATTACGGTACAGTTACATCCTAGTTCATTCCAGTGAGCACCTTCACTCACTCAGCCTCTCCCTAAGGCTGGACACTCTCATGGCTCCATATTTCTCATTATTGCTTCCAAGGGGATCTCTGTATATATAATGGTTTTTGTTGGTAGTGGTATTTTTAAATTATTGCTCTGGGACAAATTCCCAGGGGTGAAATTAACGGGCCAGAGACGGAAAAAAAAAAGTTTGATGTCACAATGCTTTACAAAAAGATCATGCTCAGCCCTATCTGGTTTGGCTCAGTGGATAGAGCATTGGCCTGTGGACTGAAGAGTCCCGGGTTCAATTCCAGTCAAGGGCATATGCCTGGGCTGCAGGCTAGATCCCCAGTAGGGGGGGCGGTGCAGGAGGCAGCTGATCGATGTTTCTCTCTCATCATTGATGTTTCTATCTCTCTCTCCCTCTCCCTTCCTCCCACATAAATCAATAAAAGTATATATATTTTTAAAAGATCATGCCCACATAGAAGCCGTCACAGCATCCGTGAGTGCACCTCTGTCACTCCTTCCCCAATTATTTATGTTGCTATTTTTAAAAAGATTTCTTTATTGCCCTAGCTGGTTTGGCTCAGTGGATAGAGTGTCAGCCTGCGTACTGAAGGGGCCCGGGTTTGATTCCAGTCAAGGGCCCGTACCTTGGTTGCAGGCTCAATCCCTAGCCCTGATCGGGGCAAGTGCGGAAGCAACTAATCAATGTGTCTGTCTCACATCAATGTTTCTCTCTGTCTTTCCCCTCCCTTCCACTCTCTCTAAAAATCAATGGAAAATTAGCCTCGGTGAGGCTTAACAAAAAAAAAAAACAACACAAAAAAACACCAACAACAAAAAGATTTTTAAATTTAGAGAGAGGAAGGGAGGGAAACATCAATGCGAGAGCACATCGATTGACCGCCTCCCACACGCCCCTCACAAGGCATTGAGCCCGAAACCCAGGCATGTGTCCTGACCAGAAATCGAACCAGCAACCTCCTGGTGCATGGGACAACACCCAACTGAGCCACACCGGCAGGGTGCGATTTTATTTTTTTACTTTGAATTTTTAAAATTACACACAAGGACAAACATCGTTACCTGTGTTTGTTTATTCTTCATACTTCCAGTGTGGACCACCCTTTACCTATTTATCTATTGGGGTATTCAAGTTTCCTTATAAATCTAAATGAATAGACTGTTTCTACAACATAACAACTTTCCGATTACTTTCCTGTTTAAATGTTACTATAAACACTCCTTTAAAGGTTCTAAATTTATACACTCAAGTCTATTGTTTGTTTGTTTTGTGACTTTGTCTGGGTCACTAAGAGATGAGAGATGAGTCCCACTTTTAAAGCATTCTTAGCCACTCTCCAGAATACAAGGCTTGGCTTGGGTTTTTAGAAATTCCAAAGACAAAGAAGAAACTTAAAAACTGGCCAGGATGATTTGTAAGCACGGTGGGTAAAGTGTTGAAAAGTATTTCGGTACCTGGGTGGCGTGGTTCAGTGGTTGAGCGTCGACCTATGAACCAAGAGGTCACAGTTTGATTCCTGGTCAGGGCACATGCCCGGGTTGCAGGCTCGATCCCCAGGGTGGGGCATGCAGGAGGCAGCCCATTAATGATTCTCTC